GAACGGAAAACGTCCTCGTGGATCGCTCCTTTTCTTCGTACAATCATGGTCACTACAGCATACCGCAATTCCCCCTTACTGTATCTTGCTCGTCTATTCATCAACAAACAGCGGACAATAAGTGAACGTTGTCTTAACCTTGAATTATGAAATGTCCCCATGTCTGTAAACATTCATCCCCGAGTTTGTTATGGACATTGTGCCGATTATGGTGTAAGATTTTTTTACCTAAATGTGAACGCCAGTGCTTGCAAAAGTCATACACAATACAATACAATGCAATACTTTTGTCATGCAATCGACTGTTCTCGAAGACTACATCTCAAAATTTGAAAAACATGAAACATGAAGCACATGAAACAATAGCACGTGTAATACGGTCCCTTTGACTGCTTACGGATAAGCTCTATCATATCCTATCGATTTTTTATTACTCTGCTCTATATTCGTGTGACCTGTGATGGACAGTACTTGCGAGCTTTGGATTATCGATTGAATAAGCCCCCTAACCATAAAGTTGACTGTCAGCGTAATACGCGTAATACTTGATTTTATTTGGTAATACTACTTGGATTATGGAAGATAATGCGAATAATTTAGATGAAATTCGAATTTGATGAATTTGTCGTGTAAATGAGGCGTGATCTGGGAACCGGAGAAGTAAGGCACAGCTGTTTTGATCTGGTTAGGTTCCAACAAATAGTCAGGTTTCCAACCGAGTCAGAATGCCGGAGGTTTCGGGTTCGATCCCCCGCCCCCCTCCCCTCTGCCTGTGGGCTTGATGAGTTTGCACTGCTAAATGGGACCGAAACAGGTTGAAACTGTTGTGCAATGCTACTCAGCTTTTAAAGTTACGCCTCAGTTGCACACGATGAATTCATTGTATAAATAAATCATGTCGTCCATTTCTCCCATACAACAATATTAGGATATTAATAGCCTAGCTAAACAAGTAGACTACAGTCATGAGAACACAAGTTATCTAAAAGAACAAGTCCGTTCTTGGCGCCACATCAAATGGCTAAATACAGAACAATTTACAATAGGGTAAACAAGTTGTGAAAGGAGATACATACCTACACAGGAAATCAGAGCTTAAAAAAGATGTTGGAATTGGAATGAAGGAATTGTAATAACTGATGTTCATGCGTGTGTATGTCTGTGTGTATTTGTATGCTTTAAAAGTGGATGATAGATTGTGATTGTAAATGTGTGAGTAGGTAAATGAATGAGAGTTTATTCACAGAGATTACGTCACCAGAATGTTAGTGGATGACCATGGTAAGGCCAATGTTCTTATAAACTGTTTCTGGGATTACAAGGGGGTCGGGATGTGTGGAACCGGATAACAATCGTCTCGGTTGTTAGCAAATTTGGAACTTGACCTCTGAATAGTCTTCCCTTGACCGTATAGAAAGGATGGGAAGCCTCCGTCAACTATAGTTTCCAGGCTTACACACACAAATACACACACACACGAACATCACGTAACAAGCACTATTCCATCGTCACTTTTTTAAACTTTGATTTTCTTCGCATTGATGTGTCTACTCTCACCGCCTGTTTAATCGATCATTAATTGTGCTGGCTAAAGCCAGCTTCGTTACTAATAATTTCACAGGAAGACAATCTATACTAGTCATATACAACCAGCGGAAACAACCAAATTCGTGGATCTGATTGTGTTTGGAACAACAACAACAACAACAACAACAACAACAATATAATGTGCATTTTCATTGATGTGAATGATGTAGTCATCTTGATATTTATTCGTTCTTATACAAAAAGTGTATGGTCATTTGCACGGAGAAATGTTTGGGAAACATTAAGAGGTACCCATGTAATTGGAAACACCGTTTGGAAACTAATGTTTTGATTCAGTGATATTTTGCTTTTTAAATCATTGCAAATGGAACTTCTGATTACTCACCATCTATCATTT